GGATGGAACACCTTCTGGTGGTTGGCAAACAACTATAAATGACCTTTCTGGTACTTCTCTGAACAAGTCACTGGCTCACATACCAATGCTTATAAGCTTCCACAATCACGATGGCTGTTTAGAGAGCTTTCCTAAAGAGCTCCTCTAAATGGAGGTCACTTGCAGTCACGTAATTCACCTACCTCTACTAATCTGACCGCAAAATTCTAGTAAGTTGCTTACCGGCCATCAATATACGACCCACAAAGCGTCACACACAACGTTTGGTCAGGTGCATGCTATCCGCTTTTATAAGAAAAACTGTAAGCAGTGATCCTTGAGGGAGCCCATTCGAAAAGTCTCGTCAGAAGCATGTTCTCCTCGTGACACCCCATAATATATGGCATTCAAAAAAACAACTTACACACTCTAAACTGCTTTGTTTGGTCCTGTGACCGCTAAGCCTGGTTAAAAGGGATGGGACCCCACCAAGGCCCGCGTAAAATACAACGACAAACTTCCCACTCTACTGATTTGTACAGACTTAGAAACTTTAATCGAATGGTTCATGCGGTAGGAGAGCGCATTACCAAATCCTGTTTTTGTTTTTAGCTAAAACATTTAGAACAACCTGATATTCTGGTGTTTCATTGTAGGTGGATATCCCACAACCTCCAACGACTGACTCATTTCACAGACCGGCCTTTGGCGTCATTTTCGATTCGGGGGATGATGACTGTATTTGGTCCTTCTTAGCATCCAGGGCTTAATTCCTTAACCGATGCGCTGAACCGATACGCGGGCGGCGAACAGTTTGGAGTCCCTGTCATAGATACTCCGATACGTCGAATCAGAGCCTTAACAATCAGACTTTGATTGCTCCACCGTGGTAACTCCAAGTTATTTCGTTTTGATGTCCCAACGCACTGCCAAAATCTTACCTTGGGTTTTGCGTAGTGATTATAGGTCTCAAAGATGGGTTTCGTGTCGCCTTTACATACATCTGGTGTTACCAATTTTCCTACATATATCTTAAATAAAACTTCACCACAGTGATTGTGCGCATCGAAAATGGGTTCGGTAAATATCTTTGGCGGTGTGCTCTTCAAGCCTTTGAGTTTACTATTGGTGCTATGTCGCTCCTGGTAGATTTGTGACATTGTACCGGGAGTAGCGTGTTATTACACATCAGCTGCTACAGGAAATACAAAGAGAGTTGAATGCCCACTCTCTGGGCCAGGGATGAAGCCACCATGCAAAGGCCAATATAGACAAATTTTGAGAATAAGAAAAGCCAACTAGTGTTTCCAGGCTGTGTTGCTCCCAGTTTCCATGGTACTTCTTTATTGGCAAGTCATGGATGGAGGAAGTCGCCGAAGCCTCCATTGTGATTGATTCTTCATGTGCTGCTAAGATCGTCTTTGTTGGAAAATATGTTGAAGCATGACACCAAACATGGTCTCGAAAGGTTTCAGAGTTCAGCGAAACCACTTACAGTCAACTATTTCTCACTTGTGCTAGAAGTATTCTACGAGGATGCCAAAATTTCCTTGTTCCCTAACTTGTGCAATACACAGAGTTCAACCTCCAGAGCTTGGGTGCTTGAATACGTTTGTTTATCAATGGAACTAAGTATGAGGGCGACTATAAATGTTGCAGTAACCCACCCCAATAGCGAAGGGAGTGCGTGGTAATCCAGACCTCCAAAACTCCCTCACGTAAGTGTTTGGTGCTTGACCACGCTAAGACGGTGCCCATAAACCGCACAATACTCATGGCTGCAAAACCCTCTCCAATGGAGTGAAACATTTTGAAACAAAATCACATGAATAGTCCGATGACTTTAAATAGCTAGCCGCAAATATAAGTGCATGACCCCAATCCCTAACTTCATACCTTTTACCAAAACTAATTTAGATGGGTGCCCGGTAAAACTTCAAGTATCTCTACGTAATAAAGGTCTACATGTCTGCATTCTCGCAGTCCTTATATCCGTATGCACGCAACGTGGACGAGCGGATCAGGTAAGCAAAACACACTTAGTTATGGCAAACCAAGATTGACATAATGGGTGTAAAGTACATTTAGGAAAAGTATATGATTCAATCATTGCCCAAAACAGCCGTTCAACTGCAGATCCACACAAAGTTAGCTCGAAGAACGATGCAGCAAGAAAACACATCCGACCTTTGGACAGCCAAGTGAGGGCGTCGACAATCTTTGTTCACTTAAACAAAGCCATCAGCTAACAACGGACGTTGATTGTGTTGCGGGGGGGGGGGGGAGAAGTTAGCTCGAAGAACGATGCAGCAAGAAAACACATCCGACCTTTGGACAGCCAAGTGAGGGCGTCGACAATCTTTGTTCACTTAAACAAAGCCATCAGCTAACAACGGACGTTGATTGTGTTGCGGGGGGGGGAAGTAAAATTTAAAGTGGCGTGAACGCTAGCATCACTGCGACTCTGTAGACAAGTGTTTCCAGAACGTCGTCCAATAAGACAGCTGAACGGGGGTATCATGTTCAACCCGTTACAGGAAGTCTGCTTGCTAACTAGGCAACCCATTGTATTTTTGTTTAAGGGTGTAAATCCCTTCAGTAATGAGCATCAGCCAACTATCTGCCTGATACTGTGAGGCCTCTTATATAAGTCTCCTGGAATCTGCCTCCACATATACTGTTTTGCAGTCTCAATCGCTGAGGCCAATTAAAGCATCTAGTCTTACACTGTTGATCTTATCAGGCCACGCAGCAAACAAATAGGCCTAACCTGTCACATAGCTAGTTTGGCAACTGTTAAACCGCAAACCATTCATGTCTATGCTTTATATCAAATATGCTTATTTGAGTTCGTTCCAGTTGATCATTTTTAGTGTCTTTCAATCGCGAGGTGACCCGTATGCTCAGGGGATATCTAAGCTGGTAAAGGTCGTCACATTTTAGCAGGTGCCTCCCTGAGCTTCACAGTGACACGCCAGGGCCAAAACGTAACTCTGTCCTAACGACGCGAATCTATCAAGCGTTGCTTAGGGAGCACAGACATTTTCGTCTACGGCTTCTCAAAATTTTTAAACGCTCCTTGATTCATCGCCTTGCATACGCACATTCTAACTGGACACCTACTTCGAGTTTTTCCCGTTGTGATCGCTAGTTGGATCCTTGAATCACTTGGATTACGATACTGAACAGTTGCAATATCAGATTTGGACCCTAATTCGTGCTGGTGGTCACAATCTGGATGGTAATTTTTAAAAGTATGTTTGTATATAATCTACATGGGAGACTGTGCTAATGTAAAAAAAAATAAGCGGACACTTCTGTCTCAGACCACCCATTATTTGTTCCCTGTACTGACAGTGATTCGATACGTTTGTGCCTTAGCATTCATTTCGATGGTTTAAAGTACGCAGTCCCATATTACACTCCGATAGCTCGAGCCCACAGAATAGTTTATTACGAGGAACGTGCCTAGTGCTGTTAGAAACATATCCATGGGACCAGTGGTGCCAATTTAAAGAAACAACCATCTGAAGGGGTCAACCGGTATAAAGCCTGGAATTACAGCAAGGATCGACAGTATCCCGAGGGATAAGTTTTCACCTGAATCCGAGCTGATTCTATCGTAGTAGGAATCTTGTGTTGACAACCGTTGATCAGGTTCGCCAACAGTAAATCACGACCGGTTATCCTGTAGGTATGTTGAATCTGTGCTGTCATAATCGCTGTATTCTGTGGGGGAGCTTAGCGATGGCTTAGCCTCGAATCGCGAGCGGTTAATGGAAACAGGGCCTAAACGCGTCCTTTGCCACTAGCTGCGATATCTAAATTAATCTGTAGGCCCGTGTTTCCTGTTGTTAACACGAAATGGGCAATTTTTGTACAATCATTCCCTTGTAAAGGCCAACGCTATGTTCAGTTTATTACGAAGTGGTGCAAAGGAATTCTTTAAAAAAACAGCTCCAAATTTCAGGTAGTTTTGCGTAGTAAAAAAGTCAACGAAGGAACTAGGTAGATGCCTTTGGCACATCACATTTAAATATGGTTCATTCACTCTCTTCGATTCGTTGCACGCATCACTCCGTTAGAGGGACTACAATGGTTTTCATGAAAAATAATTTTCCCCGCTCACAAATTAATCAGGAAAAATGTACATGGGGTATCCATTCTCACTATAAGGACCGCTTATTTGCTGGACAACAATGAGCACAAATGTCAGCCAATTCTTTAGAGATCTAGAAATGTCGCGTTACATACTTCGCATCTTTCACAATACATTGTATTGTTTGTTCCTACGCTTTGATCAGAATGCGAAATGCCCATTAATTCAGTAATTGCAGACAGTCTATTTTTGGCCTCTTTAATCTTCACTAACTAAAAACCTTAAAACGCACCCAACTTGTTGGCTTTGTTTACAAATTGTTTGCATTTTTTCAATATGATAAGAAGGGGAGGGTTGGCCATTGCTCTGCAGAGTCTCATGGATATCCCACCTCACTGGCCTTGGTTCATCCACAAAGCACCTAGACTGAGTAACAGATTTTATGCACTAGTTTGAAGGGCAAGAGTATATTCTTTCCAACCTGTGCTCATTAGGATAAAATTTATCGAACTTCGTCCGTGAAGCGTTCCTAAAAATCTCGTAGTTTAGTTTCAAAATGATAAACACAGGTCTAAATAACTTTAAGCGAAACGGTCGAAATACAACCCTAATTTTGTGCTAGGATACACAGTCATTTAATGCACGAAAATAGTGGTATTATATTACGTTTGGTGAATTAAGTTCGCGTCGGAGTGGCACATTTCAGAAATGACCTGATCGTGGCGAAAGCACGATCACCACGATCACGTACACCAAATTCACCCAGCACCAAGAATACCAGATACATTCTAAGGAGAATTAACGACACTTGACCGGTCCTCAGAAGATAATCGCTATACACCAAACGGCTCTAGCTGATCATATGCCTCTTTTCCAGGCAAAATAATTTCAACAGAAAACGAGCTAACCGCATGAAATAGGTGAAGTGGAAACTAGCTTTAGACATTCACCAACTAAATACAAGTCACCGAACAAATTCTTGGAAAAATTGCGGAGCTGAAATTTACAGGAGTAAGTTCTGTCAGCATGTTCAAGCCGCTGAAATAAGGTGACGATGGGCCATATTGTTACATTATTACCAACCACTCATTATATGTGGCTATGGTTTTAATTAAAAGGGATTGGTTAGGCAAAATAAGAGGCAAGAATAAATTATGGTACAAACTAATTGTATATCTGACAACCTTGTCCAAATGGTCAGAGGAAAAGTAACAGTAATAATTTTGGACTTAGAAAACGCTGAAGTCGGATGGAATGTGATGCCCGCGGGTACAGTTTGAGAGACAAAATAAAACGCACAGGACTGCCAGCTGTTCAGATGGAGAATTCAAGCACAGCCAGATGCACGTTCATTTCTGTCAAATTCTGGCAAGATAAACACTGGAACCCGAGGCGATCGCGAGTTGAATGGAATTCTTTGAATCTTCGGTCGGAGTAGTGAGATAAGCCAGAGAGAATACTCCATTTGGCAGTTCTGTGATAGCGGCTACCGGCTAGAGAGAGGAGTAGTGGAAGTGAATATAGATGGAAGATTTATAAACTAATCACATCTGTAAGCCACCATCGGGGGAGTTACTGGATGGTAATCGTTTATGCATTGGAATTTGCTTGCCTACGTAAAATAGGTGACTCTGAATGCTCCCTAAGAGTTGTGTAGCTGACTTTTGCTTGGCCCGTAAGCAGGCTGATGTATTGTGATTAATTACAATCTTGCCTTGGTGTATGCGTGGTAATAAAAACGGCCTACTCTTGGAGAGAATACTCAAAGAATTCGTCGATCTACTCCACTTTGATATTGACTCCTCGGGGGTGAATACACGCAGAGCACTCAACAAAGTGTTGTGTCTGAACTTCATCAACTTTACTGCAACTGTCCGGCGCATATTAGTTTTGCCGAAGCAAAGCGGTTTTGATTATTAACACCGATTTAGTGGCTCTGACTGCTACTGTGGTTGTGAATTTTTGTTAGGCTCGCGAATAAACACAAGCCGAAAACTGCGCCTGTGATTTGTAGGAATGTGTTTTCTTTCTTACATACTGTTTAATAGCGAAATAAACTCATTTGCGAATCAATTTGGTTTCGCGGAAGACTCACATTGAACTAAGCGGAATCTATCGTTCATGGTGTTTGTAAGCAACCTTGTGAGTGGTGTATTACGGTTATACAATACATCTAGAATATCGTACAGAGTGAAACATGAGGCGGCCTGGAACAGTACACTCAGTCGTTTACATAAACGAGAGAATCAGTTGGGTTCCAGGTGAGTCTCTCGCAAAACCAAACTGGTTCAACAATGAGTGTATTTTGCTAATTTCACGCAATTTTGGTTGAAGTAGATTAAAAAGTTGATGAGGAGTGCGCATATCTGATGAGTCCCAAGTAGGACAAAACCAGTCGTGGGCTATCGAAGGGTTTTCAGCAACCTTATGATTATTGCATTATGTCCACACTGTTAGTTGTTACGCCGTGTTTTGTTTGGTGTTTCATGCCCACTGTCATCTAACGCAGACAATTTAGAGGATGGAGTAGGTTTAAACCTTCAGTTGGTTACGCGACACTGACACCAGGTTCATTCCAAAATAAGAAAAGAGTGTTTTCAATGACGGAATTCAGTTCTGCACATTACTCATCACTAGTCATTGCTGCTATGGTGAGACGGGGTTGGACTAAGTTAAGTACAAATGTTTCTTCTTCGGTGTTCGTTGCTGAGTGTCATACCGCATACCCCGAAAATGTTGTCTGGTCACCAGAATGAGTCTTTTCTGGTGACATAAACGTCATTCGTAATAAGCCATGGAGTGGGTTGGACATAATAAACTGTGGTAAAAAAAACATTTGCGAAGACTTGTGATTACGCGTTAAAACAAGTGAAATGTTAATTTCGAAAGAGAAGTGCTGTAAATCTGAAGCTGTCAATTGACAATCCATATGTATTCACATATGGCCACACTGGTTTGCCTAATCACTGGATAAGGTGGTGTTGGTCAGGTAGAAAAACATTTTCGTTTCTGTTGGAAGTGTTCTCATCTAGGAAGAGTCCAGAATCTAATTTGAAGCTCATCAGAGTATACAGGAAACATATTGTCTAAAATAACTTTATTGTTAATTGCAGCAGTTCCCGAAGCTTTGGCAACCTGTCAGTACCCCAGTCCTCGTGTCTCCTTCGGATGACATGGCAGTTAGGCAACGAAAGAGTATTTCAGATGAGACACGATTACAACTATATCTTGTGTTGCAATGCGACGTACGACAAAACATTCCACCTATCAAGTGAAACTCTCAATAAACTTCATTTTGAACCCGGTCAGTGATGCAGGTCCTTAAGGCCCCGAAGAAATCCTGATTCCAATATCTACGTCATTGGATGATAAGTTAACGCGCCTCTAACGAAGTAGGGTATTATGAACTGCACAGATAAATTGAACATTCACTGCTAAATGTTGTGTGCATTGGTATTATTGTGGGGCTTTAGGATAGACTTTAAAAAAGGAATGACGGGATGAGATGTGTGGGCTGTTCCAGAGTATCACCAAGTCAGCTACTTCAAGTATACGTTTTCCACCAGTTTCAAGGTGGTGGTTCTTGAGCGGTCATCCAGGAGTTCAAATACCTGACTCGCGTGATAAGTTGAATGGAAAGTTGAAACAAAAACTGGACTTTCGTGCGGCTATAAAACACAAGACGCACTGAAGTAAAGGTTGGACTTAATAACAATTGACTTGAACGTGTAAACATTCGCACAAACGTGGCTGGCTGGAATGGAAAGTACAAAAACTGGACTTTCGTGCGGCTATAAAACACAAGACGCACTGAAGTAAAGGTTGGACTTAATAACAATTGACTTGAATGAACAAACATTCGCACAAACGTGGCTGGCTGGAATACAGTGTCTGTAAAATACTTGTGTTCCAAAAGTAGTGGTTGTGATCTTGCAACTGATCGGCGACCGCTGACACAGCTCTGTATGTTGGTTAACTGCGACTTTGATCTTAAACACTTCTTGCTTAAAAACTTGGTTATTCTTTTCTGGACTCAAATTCCTTCAGTTGATATCAAAAGGGGGTTTGAGTGCCTAAGAGTACCCACAGCCACCTGAATTGCCCTGTCCCCAACACAGATAAAAGCATCTAAAAATATCTGTGGTTCATTGCCCGTCGCTGTGCATCTTGGTAAAATGAGATTTTCGAATCATGTGGTGGGGATCCATGGAATTCAGTTCTGCACATTACTCATCACTAGTCATTGCTGCTATGGTGAGACGGGGTTGGACTAAGTTAAGTACAAATGTTTCTTCTTCGGTGTTCGTTGCTGAGTGTCATACCGCATACCCCGAAAATGTTGTCTGGTCACCAGAATGAGTCTTTTCTGGTGACATAAACGTCATTCGTAATAAGCCATGGAGTGGGTTGGACATAATAAACTGTGGTAAAAAAAACATTTGCGAAGACTTGTGATTACGCGTTAAAACAAGTGAAATGTTAATTTCGAAAGAGAAGTGCTGTAAATCTGAAGCTGTCAATTGACAATCCATATGTATTCACATATGGCCACACTGGTTTGCCTAATCACTGGATAAGGTGGTGTTGGTCAGGTAGAAAAACATTTTCGTTTCTGTTGGAAGTGTTCTCATCTAGGAAGAGTCCAGAATCTAATTTGAAGCTCATCAGAGTATACAGGAAACATATTGTCTAAAATAACTTTATTGTTAATTGCAGCAGTTCCCGAAGCTTTGGCAACCTGTCAGTACCCCAGTCCTCGTGTCTCCTTCGGATGACATGGCAGTTAGGCAACGAAAGAGTATTTCAGATGAGACACGATTACAACTATATCTTGTGTTGCAATGCGACGTACGACAAAACATTCCACCTATCAAGTGAAACTCTCAATAAACTTCATTTTGAACCCGGTCAGTGATGCAGGTCCTTAAGGCCCCGAAGAAATCCTGATTCCAATATCTACGTCATTGGATGATAAGTTAACGCGCCTCTAACGAAGTAGGGTATTATGAACTGCACAGATAAATTGAACATTCACTGCTAAATGTTGTGTGCATTGGTATTATTGTGGGGCTTTAGGATAGACTTTAAAAAAGGAATGACGGGATGAGATGTGTGGGCTGTTCCAGAGTATCACCAAGTCAGCTACTTCAAGTATACGTTTTCCACCAGTTTCAAGGTGGTGGTTCTTGAGCGGTCATCCAGGAGTTCAAATACCTGACTCGCGTGATAAGTTGAATGGAAAGTTGAAACAAAAACTGGACTTTCGTGCGGCTATAAAACACAAGACGCACTGAAGTAAAGGTTGGACTTAATAACAATTGACTTGAACGTGTAAACATTCGCACAAACGTGGCTGGCTGGAATACAGTGTCTGTAAAATACTTGTGTTCCAAAAGTAGTGGTTGTGATCTTGCAACTGATCGGCGACCGCTGACACAGCTCTGTATGTTGGTTAACTGCGACTTTGATCTTAAACACTTCTTGCTTAAAAACTTGGTTATTCTTTTCTGGACTCAAATTCCTTCAGTTGATATCAAAAGGGGGTTTGAGTGCCTAAGAGTACCCACAGCCACCTGAATTGCCCTGTCCCCAACACAGATAAAAGCATCTAAAAATATCTGTGGTTCATTGCCCGTCGCTGTGCATCTTGGTAAAATGAGATTTTCGAATCATGTGGTGGGGATCCATACATGGTGTTATCGGTTTCTCACAACATACAAGTGAGTTTTCCGCGGTGTTACCTGAGCACTGCTTCACACAGTAGAATCTCTGAAAAGTACAGTTCATGATGTGGACAGGTAAAGTGACACTTAACTAATGTTACAATGTCCCTCTCAAGACTGTACCCGAAGCGATTGCATTGGCAATCCGCTGTCAGTTAGCGACTTACTTAGGGCAGAGGTGATGCATAAAGCTCGCTGCAGTTTGAAATAAAAGTGACAATGTTTTCCTTCTTTCTGAGGGGTACTGTGTGATCTGAAAAATACCTGGCACTTTCCTAACAACCTTTTACGGATATGCCAATGTTTGACACGTTCCTCCAGTAGTCTGCATCTGTATACGGTCATCCAGAAAAAACGCATTCGGGAAAGAAAATTCATGGTGATTGCCCAATGAATTTGAATCAGAGAAACTGAGTAGTCGAGTATGTTTCGAACCTCCCTACTTAACGTCAGTTGCAGATTGCATATTGCCAAAAGACAAACCCCTCAGCTCGACCACAAATGAAGCGATGGCTCTTTATATGGGTTCAATTCAACAGTTGATTATGATTATTAATGTGCGCTTCGTAGACAAAAGCGTCTTTTAGAACATCCCGTAACCGTCGCAAAAGACAAAAGTTCCAGGCTTCAAAGATCTTGGATCGGATGCATTATTGACCAGGCATTCTGCTGCGGATGGTTGCTTAGCTATTCACCCTTCTTGCTGTGCCTTCTAGAGAAACTCTGTTTTCAGGATGGGTGAGGGAAATTGTTCAGTGGGTATAGGTGTGGTAAATACATCATCATGCATCATAGTGATCAGCTGTGCTGATAAAAAGAAGTCTCGTGCTGATCAACTCTAATCAGACGTCAGCTGATGTACTTTTACACGTGCTAGTTTAATGTGATTTACTGGCCCCTAGGGTCATCATCATCGACAGCATGACATAAGTGTTCAACACCGATGCTTCACTGGCATCTACTTAGTCAAAATTGTTGACTGCTCTTGTAAGGTCGGTTATTCGCGAACATCACGGAAAGAGACTGAGGTGGTTGCCATAGCGACGGTGCCGTACCTTTTAGATGCTATTCAATAACGACCGATTTCGAAGGTGTAGATAACATCACGAACCGAAAAGAAGAAACTTAATTCGCGAGAAGGAGTAACATATGTTCATCCTTATTTAGCTTATCAGTAAAGAATGGCATCAGGAAGCCCATTCTCTCGGAACGTTAGCAGCTGAGTCACTATACAGTTTGCCACAAAAAAAGGCCAGTGAAACTGAAGCTAGAGAATGACCGTGAGTACAAAACTCTTTCACAGACCTTTGGCTTATTGCGAGTCATTATCCGTAGCGTGTTCGCTTCTGAACCACCGAAGGCAATGTAGTGAGCACCGATCCATCGAGCAACGTAGCCCTGGTAAACAAAGAATGGAAACAATTTAAAGTAAAAAACACTGCAGGTCCTGTTTAAGGGATACCATAACAATGTAACTATACTCTGTAATAGCTTGTGCGTCGAAAGAGACAAAGTAATCGCGATGGTTTGCTGAGTAATCTTCACTGAAGGCCCGGCGAAGAATTGGCTGACCCAAACTTATGATGGCCTGCGTGAATGATGGGAAACACATGGGGCGACTCTTATTAGCCCCCTGCCATGTACACAGCCCGATGGACAACCACAGTACGGCTTTTTTATTTGATTCTACCAAGATTTGGACGTCTGATGTAAACGTTATATCCTGCTGGACGGATTTATTTCTTCCAGCACTGTGCTACAAAGACGTTTCTTTTAAAAATCATAGTGTATACTACATAAACTTCTGTATTTTCAGAAGGTATACTTCACCAGAGAAACGTTTCTTCTGGTGAGTCAAGTGTAGATGTCCCAGAAAACTGTCGCACATGTTCAGCCGACATTTGGTAATACACTGAGGTTGGTAGTAGAGTTGGCTGACCATGAGGGAACTTGGGAGACATCAAATGAAATGTCCTATGGGATCCTCAATCTAAAACTGGCACAATTAAACTTCGACGCTGTCGTGAATAGATAAACTGGAATGCAACCCATTGGTGAACAAAACTTACTTCCAGATAACCCTTCACAAATTTTTCTTCATTGTATCTGCTTGACCTGGAGTATGGCCGATTTACTTCAGTAATTCCGCACACCAGCCTACTCTAGTGATTCAAGAAGTTATGACCGAATCTTCCTTGTTATTAATACCTCACAAAAACTTTGTTACAATGTAATGACGAATGCTAGTCTAAGACCTCTTTGCCTTTCGTTCCATATACAAGCATATTGGCCAAAGTGCTATATCACTTAGGGGTTTCTCAGCTGCATACTAACAGGACAACATACGAGATAACCCTAGCTTCAAAGCATTCGTACTGAATCCAGCACGAGTGCAATCAGATGGTCCTTTCGATTGGCCTAGTTTTCGGGAATGAACATAAGGTCTTCGAGTGGAGTTTTATTACCCAATGTTTCCATCACCCTGGAAAGCCTTCATCAGAGGTAAAATGTCGCAAAGACAAGGGAGCGCGCGTCAGTTGGCGTCAACATTAAAAGAACCAACATTCTACACACCATTCTGCTGGGTCAACCATGTGCTTGAACGTGAGTTGTGCTTAAGCTGAAGGAACTATATGATTGCTCATGGTTTGTTGTGAATCAGCCCTGTCCAGAGAGCACATAGGAGCTGGACATAAATTAAATTGACACATAAAAGTCAAGAACGAATGACTGGGACCTCTACACACTGACGTTCTGCCTACCTTTGTGGACTGTTGTGTAGTATTTTTGCTTGACAAAGAAGGGACTTCGGCTTTCCGTCAAAGTATGGGGTGCAATCAACGAGTTTTTCTAGTTGATGTAGCTTTGAAGTTTTTTTTGAGTAGATAAGCCAAGCTTCTTTTTCATTCGGTTTTGTACGCTAATCTGCCTGTCTATTTGGCTCATGTTCCCGGATTAAAGGTCCCGCCACCCATCAGCTTGTACGGAGTTTTGTGTTAGTAGGTGGTGTGGCAACTTGTTTTCGACCAAAAATGAAAGTGTCCCAGGCATAGCGAAGTATTTAAATTGAAAACCAAGTTTTTTGGTCCTGATAGCCTGAGCGATGAGGTTAGAATAAGCATTGTACAGGCCCGAACATTACTGCTCCAAAATTGCACGTCACTGAACTCAAGTGGTCATTTGGTCCAACTAACCGTGCGACCTGTAGTGCTTAAAAGATGTTACACTTATTAGCTCATATCGTAGGCTTTTGACCATCTCAAAAACCCGGTGACGCCGCTCTCGTAAAGATTCAGAAGCTGGACGGCAACAACAAGTTTACAGTGTGGTTGTAGGTAGGTTACCAATTTACGATGTCTTGAGAATGTACAAAGCGTGTCGACCCGTCGTCTTTCAGGGACAGCTAACGAACGGTTGGCGGTGAACAGCTCAACATATGATAGCTCAAAATTAAAGCGATTATCGCGGGATTCAACGCAGTTTTGTCTTCGTGCCTTAATGATCTTGGTCGACGTTTTTCTGCCTGTAATCAGATGAAAGCTCTACGGTCAGTCATTGGGCGAGGGCTGTGAGGATACCGGGTTTGCCTCGATGCTGACTCTAAATCCTAGTTTATTTGAAAGACGTCTAAAAGTGCAGACGCCTAGCCTTTGACCATTTCCAATAGATTTATATCTCTTTACTGTGTATTTGTGCATCCTTTATTCAAAGGAGCATCAGCAATTGCTGAGGTGATGGCAGCAAATAACTGGACAACTGCTCATTGTAAGAAATGATAACTCGTATCCTCACGCAATGCTCATCAGGCGAAATTAGATCTTAAGGTTTTGTTCAAATCTGGTCGGGACCACATAAAACACCTTCTGTAAATGGACCGTTTTTCACGGTGACGTACAAAGCTTCGTAACACAAATACGCGTTTGGCCTTATTCTGTATCATTTCACAATGCACTTGATAGGGTAAGTATCCCGAATGTCAAGACGTCAGCACCTGTCACACTCACACAAACTCACCTTGCTTCGGACTTCAAAGGACGACTGCGGAACTTCCTCAATTGGCCGTTCATTCATGGCTTCATTCATTTCAGTAACATCGTATTCGGTTGTAAATCTAGTATTTCCAACCTCGACACTATACCGCATACGTGGTATGATTTTATCACTGAATTTCCAAATCTGACAAAAAATAACGCAGCAAGAAAGCAGTCAGCCCTTACAGTGATTTTCATAGCGATTTCTTGATATAGAGTGAGATAAAAATGCATGTGGACTGTCTAGGCATTAGTGAGACCATGAAGATGGATTCGAACGAGGATTGAAACAATAATTATTCGTTCACTCAACTTCAACGATTCAATGGAGGTTTGCTATGACCCGGTCACATCAACTTCCATATCTCATGGCGTGAGCCTTAGGCAAGTGGCAACGGGCCCACCATAGTCCTAAAAGAAACCGGTTGATGCGTACTTCAGCCTTTCGTTTACGTTATATCGCTTGTCATTTCGTACTGAGCCCACTCCGTAGGCCCCCAAATGTAGCCGATTTCTGGGTTGTCTAGTTTTTAATTTGTAGTTAGTGATGAGTAGAGAAGTACTACCACCTAACCTCGGATTATGAAAGGTTGTTCTCATTATCCCAAGGGTCTTCACAGTTCCTCAATACACTTCTAAGGAGGATTCCATTTGAAACAATAACGGGTATGCAACCCTCAGGGTTGAAAACTCTCTGTAGCAGTTTGGTTTGATATTGAGAGATAATTTGGAATATCTCACCTGAATATCTTACGAAAAAAGCAACGAATCTTAAACATTACATGTACGGGTTTTCTGTTAACTATACTGGTGAAATAAGCCAGTTCACTCTGAGTATCTCGGTTAAAAATCCTGCACTGAACATTACTGTTATATGGTTTTACGATCCAGGCTGTATTATTCACCCACGTGTTTGTTAAAGTCTTGATTTTTGTCGTTAGTCTATCCGCATCTTGATCCTCCTTCTCCTGTTCGTTATCATCACAATCGCAACAATACTGATGGCTATACTAGGCAGCGCTTGATCACGCTAGAGAGAGCGCTGATGCTCCACTGCGGCACAGTCATGTCAATGGGGTGGATGAGGTCTTATGATGGGAAAGAAACAATGGAGAGTGGCGGTACACCTGTAACAAGTGTATCACAACTTTCAGACCTCAGTCAGACAATCTGGATGAAAGCTGATGGCGTGAACACCACTAATAGCAGTTAGCCGGCATTTCGTTCCAAATTTTAAGCTAAGCACATGCAGCATCAGATGGATCCCAACGTAGAATAAGAACAGCTCTCAAATATTTGGCAACATCATTTTCTTCTGTTGTGTCAAATTCCGGATAACTCTAGGTTCCCTTCACTCGGAATAAGACACGGAAAGAAATGCTTGTCTCAGCCCGCGGTCATATTTCAAAACCTTCTGATACCTATATATCTGTCGGCTCCTCACATGCTATTAGGCTGTCATACTAATGTCATACTTTTGTTGATATCAAGGTAGTTGTTGTCTGACGTTTCCGACCAATCTGCTGGAACGAGGTACCGAAAAACTTGTAACTGCGTTTGTCCAGACCGTGTATGAAGTGGCGTATAAAAACGGTCATGGATGTGGCAGAAGTGTGAAAACTGTATGTTTTTTCCGTGTCATGCTATCTTTCAGTAGAAAAGTGATCCTTGCCTAGAAGCATCGAAGCACACATGAACCTGAATCAGGCACCCAGATGTACTGAGAATTGTCCGCATCTTTTTATCTTCTAGACGCATTTCCTTGTTTTTACTGGAAAGTGTCCAGAACATTCATCTTGATGTACATGCTGCAATGAGGCAGCAATATACAGATTTGGCACTCCCACGTTGATAATAGCTTTGAAAATGGATGAAAAATGTGTACAGTACCTCAGTGTCTTTTGGCTTAGACTGACATTGAACGAAAAATTCTGTATGAACTAAACAGCCTACGAGCTACACAAGCCTCCCTCCGACTACATAAGTTAGTTACCACCAGTTCACACGAAGCAAATGGTGGGCTTGGTATCATATCATTCCGATTTGCAAGCTGACTACAATTCTGGGCGAACAATTGCGACGCTGTAATGCTAACCTGTGGGAGATTCAAGTGTTTTGTCGAGTATACAATGACTAATGTTATCCATATCGCACACTTTTAGCACTGTGGTAGTAAAGTTTCCCATTCGTCTGGGTTTTATAGCCCCTTACTTGAAGACGCTGAATAAAATGCCACGGATGGTCAAAACTCTTATAAATCCTTGATTTGTAAACACTAACGTGTCGCGATGGGCTGTTTAATATCAGTGAACCTTCATCTAAGCATGAAAATCCAGTGGTTTTCCCGTCAGGTGAACTTAAGTAATAGCCCGCGGACCACAGAAGTTGTCACGAAGTCTTACTGTCCTTCAGTAATGAAATACTTTACGGCTGTCAAGTGCTCGAAAGATGTCGAAAAATAGCGCGCTACCGTACTTCTGTACTTCTGTTTTATTGTCATCACCCGGTGTTTCAGACATGAAATGCTTCAAAAAATGCTGTCTGCATGGCCGAAGCAAAATTATCGGCGCGTTAAGCCAAAACCTTATCCAAGTGGTACATAATCTGTGACTTAAACAGTACATCTTTGCAGAAACATCCAACCAAAATTCTTCCTCAGTGACACTGAATATCTTCATCCGAATGTCTCCTCTGGGGAAGTAAATGAACCGCTTGTGGTTGTGCAATGCAGGTTTACTCAAGATGGAACTGCGGCAGAAAAAAGTGCTTCTAAAGCTGCGCTCAAATGAAAATCAATTTGGTTTTCATTGGAGACTCAAGTGAATCTCTCGTTTGTGATGTTCTTCAAATGAATGTGCTGCACAGAGGCCGCCCCATACTTCAGTTGGTACGATATGCAAGATATTGCAGTACATATTCATAAATGAAACTACTCACAAGGTTGCTAATAACTCTTCGACAGCCCACACCCGGTTCTGCTCTTCTTGGGGCTCATCGGGTAGGCGCAGTCCCTGTATTTCCGTCAAACTTGTTTTATTTGAACCCGAATTGGACTGATTGCGACAAACACACTCACTTGTAGGTCACTTTTGTATTTCACGAGATACTCAACTGAATCTCTTGTTTATGATGTTCTTCAACTAAATGTGATGCACAAATGCACAAAGGCTGGCGGAAACTCGAGGACAGCGCCCACCCGATGATCCCCAAGAAATCGGTCCCGCCTGTCAAAGACTTTTCAGCAACCTTGAGAGCAGTTTTATTCATGTTTATGAAGCTGTTTTCTTCATCCAAAAATCTCCTTGGGGAGAGATGTTTTGCACTCAGATACTTTTGTGTAACAACCAAACAAGCAGCCGTGAAATCCTGTGCCTCTTCAGCATGGATTAAATTTACCTTTTGAGAAAAACCTTGCTGTACATATTTAAGTACAACGTGCGTTATTAAACTGTTTCACATATTCTCCTTCATTTCCACTTTTTTGTCAAACGCAAAGCCATACCCATCAGGAACAAAAACAGCGGAGATGAAACACGTGTTGTAATTTGATGCAAGTGAAACTATCTAACTTGGAATTTAGTAACAACAGAATACAACAGCACAGGCCCGCAAACAGCGGTACCTTTTTCTTATCACAAGCACTGCAAATCTCGAAAAACTGATCACTCACTTTGGTTTCCAAAGATTCATTCTCTAAGTGTTTGCTAAAGTCGCCCCATCATCAGCACACTGGTTATACTGACACACTACCGCAACCGCAGCAATATCGAAATCTGGCAACTTTTTTCGCGTGATCATGTGACCTTTATTTGCAAAATTAGGTCAAGCTAGCTGCTGACGTGATCAGACAATCTGACAACAGGTGAATAGCCAGATTGATTTGTTTCATTATCAGAGTCTTCACGGAGGCTCTAATAGCTAGCAAGAGGATACTTTGGAATTCCACCGAAGGCATGGTTATACTCGAGAAGCTCAGCTTCACGTGGAACCAGTCGGTTAGGCTTTATGTCGTGAATTTCACACTTTCTAGCATATCTCTTTAGCTACATATGCTCCATCACATACATTACGTAAACCGTAGAATCAGGACATCTAGAAGCAAGCTCATCGGTGTTAAATGTCCAAAAATGCCTCATTACAGACCTTCCGAAGAGAGACAGTTCCACTGAAAAGTAAGGTCAACTTTTTTCAGAACGGGCTTAGCATGGCTGACCATCCCCAGAGGAGTGTCGGCCGTATTTTTTTCTTTTGCTGTCTTGTTTAAGAATTGACTGTATACCAAAAGTATCACTTAATATGGCAGATAATTTGGTCGATAAATACAACTAGAATAATTATCACTTAGAAAATCGCTAACATCCCGTAGTTTGGGAGCGTGGAAACTGTTCTAACGTGGCAAATCGGCTGCAGGAACAAAAGTGGACGCAAAGTATGAGAATGGAAATGCAAAGGCAAACAGTTTAAGCTTCCAAAACCCAGAATATCATCCGTCTGTTTCCGTCTGCAAACAAAAGCTCCAGCTTGAGTTCGTTTTTAGTAGAGCCACTGTCGATACAACGTGAAATGATCTGTCTTTGACAACCATAATGCGACCCGACGACCAAGAGTGGTCTTAACAAGGTCAAGCACGCGCTGGAAAATCTGGGAATCATGCCTTTACAGTGGGGCAAAACCAAAAACGGGGTTAATGGTCTATAATTTGAAGGGCATAAAGACATATAGGAAATAGGTGGGATTAGGCCACTCCGGTTTGTCCGCGCTTATTGAAAACTGCAATATGTTATGTAAAAATACTCGATGTGCTATTTCTTTGTCATCAGACGAGTTGAATGTATAAGGTGTTCTGCAATCTTGAGGACATACACATGACAATTTGAATAGTCGCCTTGAAACAGGTGACCGCGGGAATCCACGATGGTAAACAACTTTACTCGCCTTCTCCGTTGGTCCACTTCGACTTGTCATGGCCTTTCTCGAAGAGTGATGTTATCGCCACCGTTTAGAATACTTTGCTTGAGAGCACTTTAAATGCGCTCCCCTGGTCGACAGCTTGGTACTGCTAGTCAGTGAATCACGAACACAATGCTTCAATGCAGCTTTTCTGGAATTTGATTTCCTCTACTGTAGCGAACGTTCTCTAAATGAAATTTTACTTCTAGTGACCAAAGTGTTTAGGATGAAAAGAACTTGCTTGGCGATGGAATGGATAATTTTCTTGCTTATTTATCGACCAAGTGTATCCAATGCCCTATAAGTAATATAGCAACCACTTTGGGGGTTCATCCATTTGACGTTGCTTGCATTGTTCGTTTCCTCCGTCCGCACTCTGGAGGATCATTACGCTATTGGATACTGCTTTCGCTTCGTTGCATTAGGTCTCTCAATCTTTTTACTTTGCAATGAACTGACATCGAATGAATCACTTATTGTAGCGGATATTTCGTGGGCAGAATAACAATAATAATGATAATAATAACAATATGTTATGGTGGCCTTTGTTTTGTCCACTGAGCTGGGTAGTTTGGTTTCACCACCAGTCGAGGTTACACCATCAGTGAGTTGGAAGTGGAACTGTGTTGAGTTGTTTGGTTGAGTTGGTTGTTGCACGTGCCTGGCTACTGCAACCTGAGGTTTATGTTCAATCAATCTTCAATAATTTGGTGCAAGACATCGTACGCGAGATCACTTTGTTTCACTCCAGATAACTCTGGACCAAAAATTGAAACGTTAAAAGGGAACGGCCGTGACTATAATGGTGGAACAATGTGTAATTTCCGTACGGAAGATTCCGCTTTGATGAAGACATGAATATGGGACATAAGACAATATACCTCGGCTAAAATAGAGAAATTCGGGTAGTGAACTTGATACTTGGTAAGCAATCGACTACACTCAGTCACAAAAGGGAAACTACGTAACAACCCCTTCTGCATCACGATCGCTTGCCTGTGGAAGATCCAAAAAAGGCAGCCTCACCTACGGCTGTACCAAACCTACGTTCCCTCCAGTTATTATCACTTTTCTTCAAAGTGTCAAAAGTAATGTAAGGTGGTGCATGTTGGTTCTAATTTTCGAAACTCGTTTGCAGTAGTATCTTTCAGAAGAAACGTAACTCTTACAGCGAAATTTCCTGTGTTGGTGGTATCGAGGAAGGAATCTAAGCATTTTCGCTTGATCACTCTTCCTCAGTACTGAAGTCAGCGGAATGCAGCTTTTTCGGGTAAATCCGGCGACGGGTAATTTTGCAGATTATTTCTAAGTATGGAGACGAACAATAATCAGTGGAACATTTGTATTTAATAACTATCTAAAGGATTGTATCGTTTATCTATAAATGAATCTGGTCAAAGTACTTGATATGTTTTTATTATTCAGAGTTATTTCGTGCATTGATGACATCAATTCCTTTATCAGTTCCTGAGCTTCTTCTTTAAGAGGTTCAGCATCTAAAGTTCTAAGTTTTCACTGAGTTTTGCACCAGCTAAGTGTTCTGCTGGAACTTGATCGCTGGTTTGCGGCCCGTGCGATGAAGGATGATAACTTTTATGGAGAGCGCCATTTATTACAGAACCTTTTTTGTACAGCCTTTGCAGGGATCTAACTACAAATCATAAACGCACACCTTAATTACATACCTGACTAATTGTGCCTTGCAAGTTATACGAGGTGAATCGGTGCTACACTGTCCAGGTTAAGGTCCTGAATGCTCCAGAATTCTCCCTCCTATTTTGACACTGGAAAGCTAGCTGACGAAAGTTATCCGTGTCAGAAATAGAAGCGAATCAGTATCAGTGGCGTTCTTGTCGTCAGTTTCATTCGAGATTGATTGAGCACTTCGTGGTGTAGACACCTCAGAGTGCTTGATGTAGGCTAGCCCTAAGTGAAGCATCAATGCCATCAGTGATTTTGCTGTGACTGATGGCGAATGGATTTCGCGAACGGCCTGCGTGAGTTAACTGCCGCATGTCCTGGTAGGTTTTGGGACATTATGGATAGCAGAAACAAACATTAGTACTTGCCTGCAAAATAGTGCTGTCATGCCTCCATGAACTTGTGAGAATGGTGTTCGATGTCGGCTCGATATCCAGCGCATCTGATCCAGAAATATGCGGTCCTCCGTACACCCTGAATATGCAAGAGAAGGTGAACAGTTCCCTATCCAAGTGCTCTCGAAAGTAAAAGGCGATGCATGGGAAGTAAATTTCATTTTTCCGTCGATGTCTTAAAGGCATTAATGTTCAAGTGGTTGTGGTTGTACGGTCCAGTCCAATAAGTGCTTCGCCCAAAAATAAGAATAGAACAGAAAAACGAAAAGAGCAGGGTGACTTTAGTTGGGTAGTTTAGGAGAGAAACAGATCTAGATACTCGGCTTGCTCAGGTGACCCCAGAACGCGAACAGAGTCGCTCAGTGATTCATGTAATAATGTCAACCCAGTGAGTTCACAAGAAAACCCAGGAAAGAATTGCACTAAATGCTCGGAAAGGTCATCTCCGTTAGCTTCTTGGTACAAACTAACTATTCCATGGCAACTTTTTAAAAATAAAAATCCATAAAACGTACATGGCGTGTGACTAAATGCTGATGACGTTTTTTTCTGTTTCAGCTGCGCATGTCGTTTTATAACACTCTTAGATTTCATGCCCCAAAATATTGGTGTATCATGTTACAGTACACAGAACAGTGCAACTCATCTGCGATACTTCGCCACCTCGAGTCTGAAATATGGAACATATCCGGACATTTAACCAATTATGTCACAGAAGTATTGTTTGAAACTGTTAGAACTAGTCAGTTTGGAACGATGTGACCGGGAGACAAGTTTTCTGTGAATCAGAATGTAATTCGCGTGAAAATGAATCATATAGCGCAAGCTAAGCTGGTTAGACCACGTGCTGAAAATGTCGAGATACAACCTATAGAAAAAAGTATTGATTTTCCGCCCAATTTGGTAAGTCGGAAACCTACAGGTGGACAGATAATAACGTATCACAAGGGATGTCACGAAAAGTTTGAGTTATGTTGTGCTATTGGCCTTCCAGAATGAGATCCACAGGACCCTCTATGTTCTGGGCTGCTAACACTGTAACATCATCAGCGATCTCTTTTCAGTGGGTTCTGTGCTGTCAGTTACTGTTCAAGTTCTCCAACTAAGTGCTCTAGGTGTAGACATCTCGGATGTTTGTGGCAGATTTGTCCCATTATTTCCTTCAGTCATAAGACTATATTGAAAAAAAGACTGGCATGGTTGTACGGCAACGAAGCACCATTGTTATTTTCCGGTGTTGCTGTCACTGGCAATGATTCGGGTTTGTTTTTGCGATGAGTGTAGCCGCCATGGAATGATTGCGACAATCTAGACACAAGTCTACCATTTGTGAGTTTATACGTTGGCCAAAAAGACAGCAAGGCGAAGCAACAGTGACAAAAGCAATAATCCTAAACACAAGTGCTTTATGACCATATAGCTATAAGTATATGTTTAAATAATGTCATGTGACCCCAGGCTAAACAAATGGATAATATTACAAAGTCAACCGTTGGCAGTCATGGGATTTCCACAACACCGAAATCAGTAAATCAACCAAAAGCAGATCGTGTAGAACGCAGTGTAACAGTGTACTTAATACATGTCGCGTTACTTACCACAGCGAATGGACAAATCGATCATCCCAGACCTGCACTGTATCATCCCAGCTACCAGAAATGAAAATGTGCGAATAGTCTTCCTGATATGCTCCACGTGGGTGATATTTCACAGCACATATCCTCATCACATGACCGTCCATTCTTTCTGAAGTGAAACTATTGGCAAAGGAAAAGGAAACGTTTAATAACGGATGACACACAAAAGTATTTGCATTTCTGATATTTTAATTGGGTTCTCTAGAATAAAACGGGAAGAATATAGGTAGTGAGTAGAATACCTCACTTACACTACCAGTTTAGGCACTGCTTTAAAACAAAACTATCATCAGAACAAGGTGTTTCATTTCAACAAGAATTTCTCCAAAATATTACTGAATATATATATCAAGTGATATCTGCTGTGTATATGAATGCAGCTCTGAAACCTTACACGAAGCAGTCACTCACAGATCTTTAACAGAAATGGGTAAGATCTCAACGTCGTCCAGTGTTCATGAATTTCCTTCAGGTGGTATCAGAAATCGGAGCCCTTTACAATTCAGCGGTTTTCACAAATTCATTCTAGATTTATTTAAATGGATTTCACAACAGAAAAAGTGTACACAGTAACTCCATAACTTAAACTCAGTGGAGTCATGGAAAAAACTATAAACAGTGAAAGCTTGAAGGGTCGTAAACAATGCCACATTTTGCATATGAAGTTGACAAATAAATTATTTTATTCTAAAGTCCAGTGACGAAAATTAGCTACCCATCATCTGTTCATACGAAGTCATAAATCGTGCAAACCTCCTGTATTCATGGCCTCCCAAACAATATCAGTTCACCAGATACTGATGTCTCACTGAATGACTCAAGGTTGGAGGAAGTTTCAAGTTTACGGATCAAAATATTTCGTCACATTTGTAGAAGGCAACAAGGCACGTATTCACCTGAGGCCACCAAAGCCCTCTGTCTGTAGCTCGCATACAGAGGAGCCATCTCTAGCCAGTTGTTCAGGCACAGGACGACGAGAATTTTTAAACGCGTCCTCTACGCAGTCAGTCTAGGCATAATCTTCACCAGTTGCCATAAAATCATATAACTGTTGAAAGATAAACCCTTTCATAAGACCACTTTCTCATGTATTGTTGTACCTAGGTAGCTGAGCATACTCTACCTCGGCTGGTGGGAGGTCTTCGGTAACCTGGCAGCATCTCAGCCCTTATGCCTTCTTCGGATGGAGAGGTGAAAAATTACCAAAACTGAAAAGGACATGAATGTTAAATGTGGTCGAGGATGCTGATGTCCATGTTCACAAGCCAGAACCTGGTAGCGAGAAGCATTTGGACCAAATTTTGCGTGCACACTAGCTCAACTACGAAGGTACAAAAGTCACTGCCACTGAACATTATCAATGGGTCTTAGAAAATACACGACAAAACTCCTCTACAGCTTCATCCCTGTGAAGGTCGGCGCGTTCCAGTGTCACATTCGTTTTTGACCTGCTATTGCTGCGACGGATCCCTTTGATGTATGTGTGCATCCAAGTTTGATGATGAAACGCTAAAAATGCATTTTGTTCTTCATTAAAATGCCTGTAGTAATCGATCTGTTAAATTATTCCAAGTAACAACAGTATGTCTTGGGAACTCGTCCAGAAAGCAACAATTAAGTAAAATGGTTCTTTTGGCGTAAATTTCCAGATGGTTTGACAATTCGCTACTTTTATCAGAAGTTGCATTAAATTCTAAACAATGGAATGGTATATTGATGTACTGATGTTCATTTACTACCAAATGTCTTCAGAGAGTGGCTAGCCTGAAAGAAAAAGAACGAACTAGGGAGCATAGCTTATGAGCACGGTGAATACACAACTCACTGGCGCACTCGAAGATTCGATCCGGCGAGTTTGGTAAACTAAACTCAAAAGGTTTAATGCAGTTAAAATTATTATGGAATGCGAGAAAATTTAGGGTTCAGACTGACTTGATATTTTTTCCGACCTGTAACAGTGATTTATAATTTCAGGCATCCATCCTCTTCCTATCTTATTCGCACTCAACTGATGATTGATAAATTTTTGGGGATCGGGTGTGGGTTTGGTTTTTTGGTTTAAAGCAAATGTTGCTGCTTTGTTTCCATTTATGAACTTCGACACCTCAGAAGCTTGCTTCAAAAGTGAATGCAAGTTTTATACAGCACTCGTGTTGCACGCTGTAATACGATAAAATGTCTGAAAGCAAGAATGATTTGTTTTCAAAAAAGTAAGACCGCAGTAACTCAATGGTTCGCTGACATACTATATCCACTGGAGTGTGATTCGTTACCTAAGAGTAACAAATTCCTCTTCGTAAACTCCCCATTGCGAGACAATAAATCCTGGGGCACCAAACGCAAATGCCCCCGGATGAACAATAGCCCACATGCTTCATATTAAATGTAACGATTACCTTGAACTGAGCACTCGCACACAAGCATTTTCATTCAAGTCGTAGACGCGGATGTGGAAGTCGTCTCCGGCGGTGACGAACCTCTGGGAGTCAAAAGAACAGGAACAGGCTAACAACTGATTGTAATGACGCTTCCCTTTCGGACCAAAATCTGACCCCTCCATTTTGGTTATTTTTTCCTCCTGATGGGTTGCAAGTAACCGGCTACTGGCTGTTGCTCCTTGGTAATACCAAATACGAACTGTTCCTGATGCATCTACAATAATGGAAAGTGAATATCTGACTTCACGATGAATGAACCGAATAAGCGCTTTTATTATAAGGATAGGAAGAATGATTGGTTTAATTGCCGCAGTCTAACAGTCAGAGCAGAATGGAGTAATCAGTATTGATCTCTATTCTTTTACCTAGACAGTGTCTACAGAGGACCAAAAAATAGACACCTGACAAGCAATGGGCATAGTACAGAGTCTATCAATGCCATTCCTTAACCACCCATGTGCGTTTGAAGCGGTCAACCATATCCACTGCATTTAGTATGACTGAAAATTTTATTGCGTTGTATAAAACTAAATCATTGGACATGTTTAAAGCATACCGTTTTCTTAACATTTCGAATTAAGTTTCGTATTATGTTCTCGAAACAAAAAAATTTCTGAAACAGAATTTTAAAATCCATGGAGAGCTTATCTAGCTGTTCTGGACCCATTGTCAAAGTTTGAGTAAAAAGATTTGCACCTTATCTCGGGAGAAGTGTGAAATCATTTGCTTCCAATAGAACACTGTTTGTGAAATAGAGAACTGATAAACTAAAATCTAAAATCTAATATAAAATAAACTAGTGAAACCGGAGCATGCGTAGGAACGTGTCTGGCAGTCACTTTAAACATCGTGTCAGGAATTTCTTATACAGACTCGAAACTCACCATATAAGCCTCGAAGAAAACAACCATGCATTTCATACTTTTTAATTGGTTAGCTGTCACACAATAAACCGGTTCAGATTAAATTGACTCTACGGAAGAAGATTCCATAAAACATTTTGAGTCGCAGAAGACACCAATATCTGACCTGAATAAGTAATGTATTATGGACCATCCATCCGTATTGTCTGCAAACAGGCGCACGAATTTGTTGTGTGTATTGAAGATCATACTGTTTCCTTTCGCCTCTGAAATATGCTGAGCCTCTTACGCATCTCTAACTTCTAGTACGGCGTAAGAATTAGATGGGCTACTTTTATCTCTACCCCAGACATGTTCATGATGACTGTGACAACGGTGCACTAAGATTAAAATTGTCTTCTTTTGAGCTAAGGTGTATGAAGATCGGACAATATTTCTCAGAAGAACAGTCATCTTTCTTTTGGACAAACTGACAAATACACTGCATGCCAATTTGAGCACTTTCTTTCTATCAAAAGCGCATATGTTGCAATAATTCGGCAGTACAGCATTGCACGTGTGGGTGCGTAACACCTTATGAAATTTCTGGAAGATAGCATTCGAGCTTGCCTCACACAATCAAGTAACTTATATGGAACCCTCTGCAGTCGTTGAATTTCCGATAGGCCACAATCTTTAGTCTATGTAGGTCTAGACAGAAAAATCTAAGGGAGTGCACAAAATGTTACAATATTAAGTAAAAACTATGCTTCAGATTCTATGGATATTTTCGCCGAAAAACTGCATCCATATTGTTAGTGTCAAAATAAATAACTGACAGGCTGCTAATCTACACTAGAAGTGGGGTTACAAGTTTCGATAATTATTGAGTTTCAACTAAGCAAATCAAACGATTTCTGTAGACTCAAGTGTATGGATTGCAATTTGAAAAGGGATGTACAGAAAACCTCAGCAAAAAATTAACACACCTTGCCAACGGCCACACTGGTTATGCCTATTTTAGTCCGCTAATTCTATTACTTTGCGGTAGATTCTGAAGTATCTGAAATTTCATTAGGGTTGTAGCAACCCATGGTTCAACGAGAGTTACAAGTGCCATATCTTAAATTATGCTTAGCAGGAAGGAATTCAGGATATTGTATCTCTGTTTGAGGGTAATGAAGACGTATTTGGGACAATGCTTATGTTAACTTGAAAGCTGAATCAAAATAATAGAGGAAACTTCGATGCAACCCAAAAATCAGTAGTCGAGAAATAAATCGTAATATTATGGTAACGTAACATGAGATGATGTGACAATAATTTTCAATCAAGAACAACCACAAGCACCATGAAAGTTAGTATGCTTTATGGAGACATCTAAACAATTGAAGTCCTCTTGTGGTCACTTTCTAGGATATCAAAAATTGTTGTGTGAACTCAACAACTTTTACTCCAAACCAAGTAAATAGTACCAGCGTGCCATTTATATAGTTATACTATGATATTCCTGATTGTGTGCAACCCTATAAATGTAAAACACTGCGCTAGGTGTGCACTTCAAACCTGCGCTTCAACGTGAGTAAATTCAACTATATAGATGGATGAAATGCACCGGGAAATTTAACAAAAATCAAGCGATGCCTCTATCACCAGAGGCTGCAGTGTTTGAATCATGCCAAGATATTGTCCGTCAAAAGTGGAGCAGTCTACTGTGTCTGGTTATTATTGATAGGCGAAAAACCGATAGAGTCTAGATTGGTCGTAGTTAGCGATGTTCCTCTTCTAGGACTATTACTGCGTTATTCATTGTGTGCTTGACTGGAAACACTACAAAATAGTCTTTTCAATGAAGGTTTGTAACGCTTCTGTTTTTGGATTATATCCAAACGCATGGAGGTACATGCACTTTTAATTTCCCCTAGTTGACTGGCATTTACCAAGAGTATGCGCATAAACTACTTGCCTCTTTACTTTGTCTTACAGCCTTTTTTTACTATCATCTATGGTTTCCTATTATTTGTGCCAACATCATTTGTTGTTCGGACTATAATTACTTTATGCTCTGCTTCACCGCTACGTGCACCAAGCTTGACGCCTTCAAATCTTACCATCCACGGCATACATTTTTGTTTTACTGCATAAGTATTTCTTCTGATTTCCTCTATGAGACCACGATACACATTTTTCTGGTTTAAACCTGGAGCCTGCAGGACACTGTATAAAAGTATACTGTACACGATCGTAGTAATGTGGTAAAAGAAAAACTCAAAATGGATGGTATTTGTTGATAAGAATGCAGACCGCGAAATGACCCAGCGCAACTCGAATCGCACTTTTCTCCAATACAGTAAACCATGCAGAGCAAAGCCCTCATAGAACTCTGTTTCTTCAGCCGTAATAAACACAAATTTATGTATCACTCTATATCTCCAGGGTTCTTTTGTTGTATACATGCTTTTCTCATTTTTTTGTGCTTGCCTTGCTCATCGGTGCAATAAAATAATTCACATTTTTTTCTTAGCACCCTGCTTCTTCCACAAAGAGACTCATCAGCTTTGAGCCGTTCGGTTTCAACAAACAACCTTAGACGTCCTTGCCCCGCTTGTCAACGCTAACGTAATGGGGATCGCGTGTAAGTACGATTCTGAATCAGTAAATGTTGCAAACATAATGAGTGCGCGCAAAACTAAGCTTGATAAACCAGTTCCAAAGACAAAATGTGCACCACTTTTCAGCTGAGGATGTTACATTTGGTTTGCAGCACCGCAAAGTTTTCTTCATCATATTCCTTATAACGTTAGTATTTTCAGTTTTGAGGTAGTGTTTCCCACCGTAAAGTCACGATGTAAATAAACTTGTGAACCTGTTACTCTTAATTTTCCCGTTCCAACTTTTTCTTGATCCACATTCAAACCATTGCAGTGCCCTAGTCACAAACATTTGGTTTAGAGTCTATTTATGTGTCCAATATTTAAACTTGGGTGGCATAGATGTGCAAATTACTCAGCTTCTTGAGTTTCGGCTTATTCAGCCTTTGAGCAATATAAAGAGGCCTTTGGCACGTGATTCAACAAGCGCGGTGTCATTTACACAGCTAAGCTTTTGTGTAACGCGTCAATCACACACATGCTTAGCGTTGTTTCGTGTCATCTCGAACTAGTCTCTTCTAAACCTAGATATTTTTGCAGCTTTTCCACAGCCCCTAAATCTTCGCCAGTTGAAAACCTCGAAAATTTGCTCGCCGTGGCGCACTGAATCAGATATTGGCAATTATTCTGTGGCTTACGTTATCCTATTAACCTATTGGTTTATTTATGGAGAGCCAGAATACAACACTTTCAAGGTGTGGCGCACCGCTTTTAAGGACCTACTCAGTGCACCTGGCTGATGACAATTTAGGAAATTCAAGTAACTAAGATTCTAATATTCGGTCTAGTCTTGACTTTCTTTGCCGACATGGACATTAGCTGAACGAGCCCCAGTTCGCAGATCACCGACCTACACCTGACGACCTTGGTGAAGAACCGAAACTCAGTAATAATAATAATATTGATAATGACAATAATAATAATCATTGCTCAGCTATGGCATCTCTTCGGTGCCCTGCTGTCACGTCATTCGAAGGAAGCACGGAGGATGGGATACTCAAGCCTAAACAGGAGAAGTCGAGATGAAGAGGTCGGGTTCGAACCACGGACCTTCCTTCCAGTAAGTTCGCGCTCTAACCACTATGCCATCTAACTGAGACTTACTTTCAGTCGGTCTTTCATGAGTGTCTGATTAACGGTTAGTTTTCCCGCAACAAATGGGGACCGCGATCAGTTACTCGGTTGACATGTCGGCGACTTTTGGTCTTATCATAAACATGAACGAAACTAAAATGCTTTTCAAATTGCGAAGTGTTTATGAGCACTCTTGAATGCATCCAGGATCTACAAGATAAAAAATCACTGGATACCACAGAATCGAATGTGGCGAGAAAAACAGATGTTTACCAGAGGGGATAAATGCACAAATCGGGAACTCACATACGGCCACGCATCTTTTGTTTTTTTCGCTTGGAAAATGGGCCTGTGGTGGTATACAGCAGATATCTACACAAGCAAATTTCTCCTCTTCTACGTGCAAGGTTTGTACAAGTTCATTCGAACTACGATTTGTGGGGATGAGCTGCAAAATGTAATCGGTTAAAATGATAAAGATTGATAATGATTGGAGAAACCTTGATAGTGCCGTTTCGTAAACCTGCAACCCAGTATTTTTCATCAGGTGACAGACGTATTACTAACACAGTAATACCGGCGAAATCTCTATCGATTTATTTGACGCATTACAAACATTCGGGAGAGGAAACCAACATCATGCCCTGACTCTGAATGTTTTCCGAGAACGTAACCTTCTTAGCTTTCTCAGCTCTTCTATTCGATTCGTTTGTATCAGTCGCATCGAGATTTATTTCCGTTTCGTCTGTGGTCATTATCTCTTAATTGTGTGCGTGCCTCGTGTTGTAATTCCGCGCATTACTGCGTCAGATACTGTATCTGTCACGATGCATTAAAACAAGGCATCCGCAATAATTCCTAGGATGATGGACGGCGTATGAGTTAGTGAGAATGAGTGGTTCATAAAATTGTGCAAGAAGCAAGTCTCCTGTTAGGTGGCTAACTAACTCAGATAGGCTGGTAATGTCCGGTTGTACACGTTCGCCTTTTACTGCGACCGCGATAACTCCCTTTGTGCGATTCCGATTTTGTAAAGGCTGTTATTTGGTTACACTGTTCATCCCTTCTCCGCATTCACGCTAGCACGAAGAGCAACTCTTTATCCCAGAGGTTCTGATGGGGCGTTCACCTAGTTGATGTTTTGAAATATTAAACGAGACAGGCAGTGTTTTCTAAAATCTCGCTGTGCTTGATGCCCTCTCGTCCTCTCCAACTATATGGGCGGCGGTATTCTGAAGTTGCCTGGCGTGAGAACCGCCAAACTCCATGCTGTCCGAACCACGAGTCATCTTCTGATAAGGTGTCCCCTGATATTTTTCAACGCCAGTTGTCCGACCTACTGAGACCGTCCTGCAAATCCATCTCGCACTCACTAGGGCCCATCGTCTATTGCGGTGCTACACCAACTGCGATAGTCAGCCGTCCGTTTCTGTTTCCCTATAATAAGTTTCTTTTGTTTCTGTTGCCTAAGAGATCACAAGGGCTTTCCGGATCGGCCGCTATCCTCACTTCTTTTACTCCCAGGCTACAAAGAAGAACTTTTAGCTCACTTCGCCCAAACGTATTCTGATTCAGTACGCCCAAACGTGGTTGGGATTGGCATCACCTTTTGCTTGCCAGCACTTTGTCAGTTGATCTCTACTCCCCCTGCTGCTCTTTGCCTCCATTTGGTCGATCCAGTAATGTGTGTAATAATCCAGCTGTAAGTTCCTTATTCAAAAACTTCCTGATACTGCCCTGTCCCAATGGACACCCAATTTCGCCATCCGTAGTGGACTCACTGCTTTCAGATCAAGGCCAGGTTTATTCGAGTAGTAGGCGCGCATCTACCCGTGGACACAAAATTTTCTTCGAAATTGCTGCCTGTTCTCAGTTTGTACGGTACACTATTCGTCATCCTGGCAAGTTGCCCTCGTTTAGCAAAATAATGTTCTTCATAAAACTTCTACTAGGTAACATGCACATATCTGGAACGTGGTTTGTGCTTGACAGTAGCGCTTTCTTTTGATTTTACTCTGCACGCGTTCTGTGTTGATATCGCAGTACTTCCGACCAGGGTCATCGAAGTTGGAAAGGCCAATCATCCGTTTGTCAGCAAAAACACCCTTAACTATATGGAGCGTATCTGGATGTGGCCCGTGTTGGCGCGCTGAACATCCTCCTCGTGCTACTGACTGCGTAGCTTGTGCGTTAGTCCGGGTAAAACAGTTCAACTGTACAAACGGGGAGAAACAATCTCTTTGGTTTCAAAGTTCTCAGTGATTTCGACAGAGAACAGCGAGATCCGATTAATACTACACTACTAGTTTCAAACATTACACTGGATGGACTTCTGGGGATCAAACGGAGTGACTGCGAGGAGTGATACAAGTGGTAACCAAGTATGGTATTCAGTGTTCGAGTTCATTCAAATGAATGGCTCTTATTAGTCCCGCCTCTGTCCGTCGAAAGCGCCCTCAAAATGCACTCCACGATGAGCCTGGTCGGGAAGGGGCTTCCACTACCCACTTGTCCTAATTAGTTTTACAATAATTCATGCCCATGTCTTCAACGTGCGGCTCACAAACCATGGTGTTTGTCAGGTTAGAAGGATGTCTTCCGGGCGAATCACTCATCAGTGGTAAAACCAAACTGCGCACGCAACAAAGCTGTGTCGTGTTTGCATTGCTCCGGTCAGCAGGCCACAAATTTGACTTTAAAAAACGACTGAGACAGATATAAGCGTCAACATTTCTTGTTTCTTGCTTTTATAAATTGCCCGCTCATTACCGCAGCCTAAGGTTTGATTTTCCCTCGCTACGATTTATCTTTGCTTCCTAACGCGATCTATTAGAAGCCACTCCGCTGTTCCACGATTGCTCTCATCATTCATGTACAACCTTTTCCAAGCTCAGTGAAACGCATTATGGCAACTTGAAGGCGCTTATTCATTTCCAAACGGTGAACCTGTCAGGTTCTCTGGAGCTTTCGTAGTGCCGTTAACTTTTCTGATATTCTGCGTGGTTCTGTGAGAATTCAGCAATTCTGAGGTTCACTGCCGATGAGCTGTGAGCCAGGTCGATTCATTCTCTCGAGTACTTTTCGACATGGCATTGGTTGAGATTCCTATGTCGTCGATGCTACAACTGAGTACCAGTCCCAAGACACCCTAATGGAGGATTTTAACTTCGCTGACTATTGTGTCTTGTGCGCAGAAAATCGGGCGGACCCAAAGAAAAAGCTCGAAGCTGCTGAGGTTTAGTTGAGAAGAGTTAATGATAAAAGTCCGAAAACCAAAAACAGAAGTGATGTATGTGAAATAAAATATCAGCGGATTGAAGTCACCATCAAATCATTTTGATTTGTCAAAGAACTCAGCACTGCTATGAAACCGGAGAACAACCTTGGCTGTGTATATTCCTAGCTAAAAAGAAGCTGTAATCACCAAAAGCAACTGCTGAAACTGCTCGTTAAGAAGACGCATACCAAAATAAAACGGCTTCAAACAAGAGAAATCACAAGGAGCCACCTTATATAGAGAAAATTACGCTTTGTCATACTCAGTTGTGTCAGACAAATCATCGCTTAAAGGTTAGACATTCACACCATGCAGTCTTCATGACTGGCTACGCCTAGGGAATGACAGTTGATAAGATATATCTGAGTCAGTAAACAACATGGGTGACTTGGTGTCCGAAGGCTGGGTTAAGCGACCCCTACAAATCGAGCAATAAACTCACTAATATTATTTACTGGAAAGCTCGTGTCTAAAAGCTCAGGTCTACCGACGATCTGAATCCGGCGGAAACAAACATGTCTTCGAGATTTCAACTTCACAGTTGAAATATCTATGTTTAATGCGATTTTCTGGAAACTTTTTTCTGTGTGATTTGTTACAGTGAGCAATTTTGAGGTCAGCAAGTACCCCAAATTTGAAAGGTGCTCACTGGTACACAATATGTTGTTATCGAAAATGTGGTTCACTTATAATTTTTTCTCATGCACTAATAATATATGAACTTAGCTGCAGCATATGGTACATTCTCTGACGCAAATACTTCAGAAGTGACACTCGTACATGTAAATTTATCCTGACAGCGTCTTCTCGGGTAGACGGATGCGGAAGTATGCGTCCTTGTAGTGGGACAAACAACAGCGTATTACGTTCAAAATAAAAGAATTGACTTATTATTGGTCTCCGTGACTTCCAACTCGACAACCGGTGTTTTGTATGCTGTATGTCGTTGGCGAATGCACTCTACTTACGGGCTGCCCCCTTCCAATTGAATATTCCCTCGGGTTTGTTGGTGGCTTGTAGCATCTGCAGAAAACCCACTCGCAATCCAGAACAATGTGAGTGTTTTTACGCGATGCACTCACAAGAGCCATTCTAAAACACCGTGAATTAGGAAAACCGGATAGCCGACAATTTCTCTACAAACATATCCAAAATTAAGTCTGCTACTTCCAGAATCATAACTCTTACTACAGGTCAATTGAAGCTAAGTTATTTTTAGCGAAACTTCTGCATAAGAGGTAGATGAGAGGGTAATTACTAGCCGTTGCCACTCGGATGTGAAGCTGATTAAAGTGTGGGTTAACAGTGAAGTGTTCTTGTTGATATGTCCACACGCTACAACCAGGTGAGGAGAGATGAACATATTGAGCAGGCGTGTCAAGTTTGTTTACAGTACGCAGCTTCCCAAAAGTTACCAATGGACAGTCGCAGCAACCTTGACCACAGCAGAAATAATGGTCACAATCCACACGGATTTTGTTGGATCAAATAATGGACAAAGCTTCCTCGTCGTTATCGGTGCATTCAGTAGGTGGCTCAAAGTCCTCGTTATGTCTGTGATGAAAACGATGGCGACCGCCACAAGCTGCGTCAATTAATACCGATATATGATATATCGGAAGCTATTTTGTTCGATAATCTTATTCAGTCCAACTTCCATCAGCTCACCAAATCTGTTCAAGGACGGTGCGTCATACACATCACGTGCACATTTCATTTCCAATCCAACGGTCAATACAAAAAGGTTCGCAGACATGAACTAACGTGCAAGCACAAAATCGGACAGAAAATTGACCACGGCGAAAGTCTTTGATATGTTTCCGTTAAATCATAGAGCAACTCCTAGTCTACAGTCACCGGACGGTTGCTCTCCAGCAGAGGTTATGCTGAACAGACTATTGAGTCTTACCTACGACTGTGTCCTGCAATAATTTACGTGTTTCAATCCTCAGCGGGAGGAAAACAAGGTATCGATCTAAAAACCCTGTGCATGAGGGGCTATTACAATTATGACCTGAACGGACAGTTGGATTCCTCCTCAAATGAAGCCGTAAGGTAAATTATATCGTCGGAGTAGGGTCATTGATGTCGAACGGCAAGTGTATCAGCTACGGCCGACCAAGTTATCTACCCCGGAAGCGGAATAACAGCTTTTGTGTCTCAGTCAGTTGCTAGAAGCCTTTGATCTTCAAAAGCATGCACCGGTGGCCACTGCCCAACATTACCGTAGAAAGCAGATCCTTTGCTGCAGTAAAGACTCCTTGCCGGTTGCGCCGTAAAATGGGTAGGAAATTTTTACCTTGACCCGCGCTTACAATCTCCCGCTGAATGGTGAAGTGGGAGATGTCAAGGAAGCCAAGTTATAGAAAATAATCCCGGAATGTCCGAAATTTAATGAGACCATAAAATCTACTGAACTCTTATCAGGGAAGCAGAAAATCATCCGGGCCAGTCAACTGATCAATCAAACTATCAATCACTTAATTGATGAACTCAGCAGCAACCTGGTTCAATAAAGTGTAACATTCAAGTAGCCCTAGGTTCCTTGTAATTGTGGCACTTGCTCGTTTGCTGTTGTGCTCCCGGTTACCGAGCCTCTCCTCGACACTAGTGTAGTTGATTAGAGGCAGCAGTAAGGTTCAAGCGGTACACCTTGAATCAGCAACGATAGGATAAAGTCTTAAGCAATCTCGGTCATGCTTTGAGTAGCACGGGAAAAAATATTCATCCCAGGTTTTGTGGCGCAAATAATTGGAAAGGCTTCGAGAATTTCAGCGGAAATTATGGAAGTGTTTATTTGAGGAGGATAAACAATGAGTATTCGTCCGGCCGTGATTGAAAACTGTGGTGGCTATCGGGAGCCTCATCCCGACTGCAGTGATGGGACGCAGGGAGCCACTGGCAACGACAGCGTTCATGAAATCGAGACTACGCGCGAGTTCTCCTACAGGCTAAGTACAACCTTTGACTGCGAACTAGACAAGAAGAGGCAAGTGGCGCGTGTAAGAATTGAGTTGAGACCAATGGATCTCCAAAAGACTGAAATCGCCAGCTGGTAATTTGTTCGGATTTGGTAATAATAGTAATATTGTTCATTCCCAGCTTGTGGACGGCATGCCGTTAGGCCTGACCATAACGTTACAGTCAGGATAAAAATATGACAGGCGGGGATTGTGGGTACATGGGGATAGAAAAGCGACACCGTCATAGACAGTGGGCATTATCTGATGTGGGCGTGGTCACCATTAAACCGGAGCAAGCGGGGAAGCACAGTTGCAATGCCATGTTTGGAGAGAATACTGAGCAAGATCGAACGTTAGGATTTGGAGATTCTGGGCGGAAAACAAAGCAAGGAAGGATAAAGCAATAGGCTCGTCTGACACATGACAAGAAAATTGTAAACGGTGAAAAATGGGAAACCAGAAAATCAAATCTGGTGATGCAGCAGAGTTTGCATTATCCAGCCCCATCGAGTTGAATTGAAGCCTTAAACCACTGCTGAGGCCTCGGATTGTTCGGCCCATGGCCAGGATCATTAAAAGCGCAAGCGGGGATTATGAAGCGGATGGATTAGTAAAGCGAATTAGCGGTAGCAGGAATCTCAGCAACATGGTGTGCAGTGAAACTGTGGAGACATGCCGGTGTAGCTGTTGTGGAGCCGGGCATAACAGTTCCTTAGACGACTGAAATGACTGAAATACACGAGCCGCAACACGAACGGTATAGAAAGGTATTGAAGTTTGCGGGAAACACAGACACACATTAATGATTAAATTCAAACGAAGGATTCAAAAGAGTAGAATGAACGTGTCATGGAGACAGATGGGATCAGTTGGAGAGCTTGTTCGTATTTTCCACCAACGGAATGAGTGGGCGAAGGTGCGGTCGAGATAAGGACGGAAATGTTTGTAAATGTGCTATCAAACTGGGTATGGCAGTGTCGTGCTGTCATTGGCCTGACATATTTTGGTTTTTGGACAGCCCCGTAACGACGTCACGGTTAAGGCCGTTGGGCTGCAATGTCCGACTTTCTGAGCAGCGGGATTCTTTTTGGTCTGGTCAAGGAAACAAGGAGGACGGAGCTGACATTAGATCATAAGCTTTTTGGCCCGTTGGGACCCAGAAAAGTAATGTGGAAGTTTGGCTAAGCGAGATGGTGGAGTGTGGATGGGTCGTGTGCAAAGACGCGGGGCTGAAAGGCGCGTTTGAATGACCAACAGAATGCTAACCAGAGTATGAAATGTCTGTCAGTAGTACATTTTTAATGGACGATACATCCTCTGATGTTTTGTGGTATAGGAGATAGCTATCACCACGGCGGTGGGAACGATCAGAATTGGGAAAAATGTAGTGCGGAATGTAGACAAAAAATCAGGCATACTGGATGACAGCCACCTTTTATTGGTGCATATGAAGGTTGAAAAAGTTATAGTGAAGATAGCTTGTGTGTAACGCAACTTTCATAAATGTGTTCAGGTGTTAGTAATATAGACAGTGATTTTACTAGAAATGTCTGGGGAGTTGAATGGAGTGGACAGCAAAACTTATGTGATCACAGGAATATCTATATGGAATGGATTAAAGACAGAGTAACCAGGAGTTTCCAAATTGGTAGGCGAGGTAAGGCGTTTGAGGGACGCGCAAAAACGCCCAGTGACATGCCTTTTAACGCTGCTTTATTGAACTCGTTTTCCATCGACCATGCAAAACATCTGGTATCTGGAGCCATCTAATGATACACAAGCCGCAGTTATGACTGTTGGGTGGCTTGTCACCTTGCAAACCTTGCAGCGCGCACGGATGATGAAAATCTCGTATGTTGTACGGGCAGCTATGGGGGGATGGCTGCCCTGTTATGCTGCATTATGTTGGGTTCGTACATTCGCCGCTCTTTCAGTAGCACAGGTGTGTCGCTCACCACCGGCGGTTCCAAGCCTGGCCTTAAACTAAGGGAATCCATAAAAGGGGGCGCTGTTGATTGAAAGTAGCTGGATTAGATCTTTTACGGTTGTCATTTGTCCGGCAGTACCAAATAACAGTCGTCCATTCATTTGATTTATAAAAGATAAGTATGGCGTAGATCCAAGTTATTCTCCGAAGCTCATGGCCAAAATGGCTGCCCAGGACGTTGCCATCTTCATTTTATTTGGGGCTGCCCACCCATAGTCCGCTTCATCAGTCAGAGCCAACACACACGTTCTTCTTTCTTGTTCTCTGAAGCGGGTCACGTACACATAAAATGTAAAGTACTTATTATTTCCTGAGTACCAGCTTAAACGACTGGTGCCTGTTGACAGTTTCTGCGATTCGCTATTCGTTTTTGGGGCTGACAGCAGTGACTTGGTGACTGACGACCCTTGCTCTCGTTATTCTGTTAAGTTCGTGTAGTAGAACTCCGGTTAAACTACGGTTCTTATCCACCATCCACGAAGATTTCCTTCAATCGCTTATTATTCGTCTGCCGTTTCTGTTAATTAGCCCCCTTTTGTACAACACGGGAGCTGTGATTGGGTTTTTAACCTGCGCTAAAAACTGCCACCATCCTTAGTCTAATTCACCACGTAATTACCCGCTCCATATAGTCGAGCGGTTCGCCCCCTTGCTGGTTACCTTGGCGGCTAAGTCCTTAATATCCCCCTTCCCAGCCGTTCACCTGCTAATCAACTGACGCTCAGTGCATAAGTAAGACACAAATTATGCCAGCAGTGATAGCTTCTTGCATCGCTATTCAAAGGTACCGCATACATCTTTATCAGAACCTCTAATAATGATTTATTGTGTCCGCATAATACATCGTCACCCCTGGCTAATCCTTGGTTGCTAAGTCTGCCAACAATCGTTCACACTTTCGTAGATTCATTTTGCTTCCTGTGATCTCCGTTTAGATTTTTTCTATTGGACACCGTTTTATTGGATGCCCTTAGAAACCCATCACATGCCACTGTGCTTATCCTATTGCTTTCCCATTTTTCCTCTTTTCAGGCTTCGAAATTCGGTTGTGGTTGCTCTAATCGCCTCGTACAGCCGTCGTTCATTCAGTGTGACTAGGCCACGGCCTTCATCCATATAGTCCTTCAAATGAATCAAAAGTATCCACCAACATACATCGGTCTAACTCTCCCTGCGTCAATCTCCTTGTCTCATCCAGTTCCAGCTGCCGCCGAAATGCGTATCCGAGTCCAATTGCGGCAACATTTACGATCATAACGGGTCTGTCCAGAGACCGAAATATGTCAACGCAGTGATGTTTCGGCACTGCCACAACCAGTCTAATGGCACTCAGGCCACTATTCACTTCTTAACCTCAAACGTTGCTTGTGGCCTAATGGAGCTCGAAATTGCTACTACAAACAGATTTTCGCCCGATCCCTAATTCTCCTGGGATGAGTTACATCTGACCCACTAAAAATCTCGTTTGCATTTTACTTACCCGGTTTTTCACTGCGAATTCGGTTCCCCTTCCACAATTTCAACTTCATTTACGGTGTTTTTGGCTTTATGAGGTGACACTATTTCACCAGCGAGACTATCCTTTAGGGTTGATTTCTCTACAACAATGACATAAGTAAGTTTTCTTAGTTTCAATGCAAACCATGTTTATTAGACGAAGCTTGCCATTTGACTCCACTTCGAATTAATTTGTTTTCATATTCAATTCTAATTTTTGTGACCCCGGCCACTCAGTCAATCACAAAAAGTCACTAATATCAAGAAATGATTTTCAGTTTTGGTTCATGTCAAGCGGTTCCATTATTGGACCGGTTATATCTCATGCCTAGCCGCATCCTAACCGCAAACCCAAAATTTCTCTGAAGCCGTTGTTCAAAAAGGTGGCTTTAACACAAAGCTTTAGCATTTGATGTTAAATATTCTGGCACTCAAGATCTCTCTACGCGGCCCCAGTTTCATTAGAAGTTGTTTAAACGAACTCGGAGGCCACAGTGGGTGCGGAATTTTTATTTCAACGGCTGATGGTGGATTCGCGCATTGCTTCTATGAAAACGATGGAGAATTATGAGGAAAGGTGGGGTATTTTTTGCATGTTTTCTTACGTATTAGATTCAGAAACAATCTCAAGACGACTTAAACACTGATCACGCCGATTTGGTCTGCGAAAACTCAAACTGGGGTGAACATTCGCGACCTGGATATGAAAAATTCTTTTATGATTGTGGCAGGTGTCCCGTCGAAGCTAAGGCTTTCGTCACAGCTAGTGGGCGTTTTGTTTTTTACGATAGTCAGCATACGTTATAGCTGGTTTAAGACAAGGTTGATCTTTATTGATATACCGAACCACTCATAGTGCCGTTTGATGAACTTTTGGGTTTGTGGGCAGAACAGGCGGACAGCACAATAGGCGGTCACTCACGTTCTTGCACAAATTTAGCGGACTAAAATGGTATTGTGTGTAACACGCTCGTCTGAGACATTAGAGACGTAGTCAACTACGGGCAAGACATCAGACGAGGTATGGTAGTTGCGGTACCGTCACCGCGATGCCGTACTTAGGTTCGTGGGCATCCCCGTATACGAACATCATGGATGAGTCTTTTGTGGTTGTCAATGTAGTTGGGATATTCTCGGGTCCATTAAGGGTTCTCAGGTTTTTATTGCTGCCATTCGAACGAGGTATTAAGGCAGCCATGTCTATAATGGGGACTCAAAATATGTAAGTGTCCCAAAGGGTTGCTATAAAGCACTTTGGTCTTATTTAGAACGCAGCCTAAGATAGAGAAAGTTCAACGTTATCACATCTCCTAACTGGTTCAATGGTACAATACTGTCCAATCTCAAAAACGATCACCGATATTTAGGTGCTGATAATATGTAAGCGATCGATGCGAACTGTTGTGGACATGTGCGTTAGGGATGTGCATCGGCTAGATGGTGCGCAATTAAGTTAGATCGGAACTTTCAGAGACATGAGATCAGAGATATCTCGTAGTGCTGCCTGTTCGTACGATGAGCAGCCCTCAGAATAAAGCTGCTTTAACCTAAAGAAAAGCGTGAAGCAGTGCAAAACCAGTTGCTTCTGAGGCTTCATATCGCGTGTAATTAG